ATCGTCATCAGCTTTGATCACTTCTCCTTCTGCAACTTTCTTCTTCTTTGCCACAGGGTCTTGGCCCCAACTCGGATTGGGCTGCCGCTTCTTCAGCTCATCAGCTTGCTTCTTCTCGAACTCCTTGACTTCACTTTCGTACCAACAAGTATCAGGGGAATGCGATCATGCTCGAACATAAGCAAAACCTGCCTACCGCGTACTGCTCTACCTGCCGAAGCTTCCGACTCCTTATAGTTGATGATCTGTCGGCCTACATCACCCCGGTCCCTAAGGCGCTCAATGTCTGCCTCCTTCGAGTATACCTCCTGAACCCATTTAAAGGCTTCATCAGGTTTGTCCGAAGCGGCCCTCACAGCTTCCCTAACCGTTATCTTCCAGCTCCTATAATTCTCCGGGTTTGGAAAGTCAGGGAGCTTCACGGACTCTGCCTCTTTCGCCTTTGGTTTGTCATCCTCAGCATTTTGGATTTCTGATTTCAGGGCCTCGGCAAGGATTATGCTGGGTTCTTTGGTATCCTTGGGGGTTGCCGGCTCCTTCAAATCACTCTGTTTAGCAGTTGACACCACTTACCGGGGGCCTGAGTATCTGTGGGCTCACCAATGTTGAACCTTTGACGCCTTCCCAAAATGCCCTGAAGAGAAGTTGGAATCTCCCTGGGGTTGGGCAAAGTGGGAGCCCACGGATTACTCGGACCCTGAACAACCGGTGCAGTGGCACCACCTTGCGGCGAGCTTGATTGTGCGACGGAGCTCTCACATTGGCCAACGTTCACCGGCATGGCTCCACCTTGCGGTGGGCTATTTTGCTCTGTCGTCAAGACAGTCCTTGGCGAGTTGACTTCAGCTATAAGCTCCGCGTTACGATCCTGAAGGTCGTCAATCAAGCTGTCACACTGCTGTTCCTCAGAGGTAAGACGATAGTGGCATTCTTTCTCTTCCCACTGAAGCTTTTCCTTAAAGTGGTAAGTCGAATAATCTATGAGTTGGGCTCGGTTCTCATCGAAGGATGTGCGCAGTTTGGCGAGGCTGTGTTCATGATGTCTGTGTTCAGACGTGAGCGTGCGTGCGGCTGCTTCCAGCTCCGAACGATGTGCATCAAGCTGTGTTGCACTTTGAACTTTCGTCACGACACTCCTGTTCTGTGCGTGCCAGCTGTGCCTGTAACTCTCGCGCCGTTCGAAGGTCTGAGTGGGCGATTTGCTCTAGGACGCACGTTTCATCGTGGAGTTGTCCTACCAAAACCATGGCGGATTCTCTCACAAAGGCGAGCTGTTGGCGATGATTTGCGTCGGCAGTAGCCTCCAGGTGAGCGATGTAGCTGTTCGCCTCCAAGTAGATGTTATCCAGATCCTCTCAGCCCTTAGCTCCAAAGCCTGTTGGATCCTGGGGTCGTTCACAAACACGTTCACCTGCCTGTTCTCTTGGAGAAGTTGCAAGAAGTATTGGTTTGCCGCCGCCTTATTCCTGTGATCATCATTATCACCCGATGCAGCATTGAAGGGCACAATATCCATGACAGGAGCGAACTACGGCTGATAACCTGAAGTTTCCCAGGTCTACAGCTAGACTCGCTAGACACGGCTAGGTACCGCTAAGCCAACCCTGGCGGACTTTTACCGTATGGGGACTTGAGCCCGTAGCGCGTCGCGTAAAGAATCAGCTAAGGACATCAAAAGTAGTTGTGGAGGCAGGGTAAAATCTACACCTATTGTAGCATGGAAACAACAGGCTGCCTTCTCCGTACTGAAATCAACTAGAAGACAATTGGCCCGAAAGCATCATCAGCGAAGATTGTGGGGCTATGTGATAGATCCAGTGTATAGGATCGTAAAGTCACAGAGTCAAGAGTCATAGAGTCCATGAGTCATGAGTCATAAAGTCATAGAGTTACAGTGAGATAGCGTCATAGAGTCATAGTGAGATAGAGTCACAGAGTCATGGAGTCGTCTATGTACCATGCACTTGACTCGATGTAGTTCACTCTATGCTCTATGTGTGGGAACGCTTAATCGAGATCCCCATAGCGTGAGGGCTCATAGCCTGACCTGGACCTCGAGATGCAGATACAGTCAAGAGTCATAGAGTCCATGAGTCATGAGTCATAAAGTCATAGAGTTACAGTGAGATAGCGTCATAGAGTCATAGTGAGATAGAGTCACAGAGTCATGGAGTCATCTATGTACCATGCACCAAAATGTGTAACTTCACCTCGCGCTCGAACACTCGACAACGCCAATCTGTGTGAAGGGTTGCAAAATTCATTTCAATGCTCATCAAAAAATGCAACTTTACCTCGCGTTCGAACACTCGACAACGCCAATCTGTGTGAAGGGTTGCAAAATTCATCTCAATGCTCATCAAAAAATGCAACTTTACCTCGCGTTCGAACACTCGACCACGCCAATCCCTGTGAGGGGTTGCAAAATTCATCTCAATGCTCATAAAAAATTGCAACTTTACCTCGCGTTCAAACACTCCACCACGCCAATCCCTGTGAAGGGTTGCAAAATTCATCTCAATGCACATCAAAAATTGCAACTTTACCTCGCGTTCGAACACTCGACCACGCCAATCCCTGTGAAGGGTTGCAAAATTCATCTCAATGCTCATAAAAAATTGCAACTTTACCTCGCGTTCAAACACTCCACCACGCCAATCCCTGTGAAGGGTTGCAAAATTCATCTCAATGCACATCAAAAATTGCAACTTTGCCTCGCGTTCGAACACTCGACCACGCCAATCCCTGTGAAGGGTTGCAAAATTCATTTCAATGCACATCAAAAAATGCAACTTTACCTAGCGTTCGTGCGTTCGACCATGCCAATCCCTGTGAAGGGTTGCAAAATGCCAATCCCTGTGAAGGGTTGCAAAATGCAGTTGAGCTGCGCCCAAACCCTGTGAAGGGTTGCGCGGCGCCCGCAAAATGTGTAACTTTACCTCGCGTTTGAACACCCGAGGAGGCGAATCCCTGTGAAGGGTTGCGCGGCGCGCGCAAAATGTGCAACTTTACCTCGCGTTTGAACGCCCGAGGAGGCGAATCCCTGTGAAGGGTTCACCCGGGCGCCGAAAATGTGTAACTTTACCTCGCGTTTGAACGCCCGAGAGTTCCAATCCCTGTGAAGGGTTGCGCGGGAACCGCAAAATGTGTAACTTTACCTCGCGTTTGAACGCCCGAGGAGGCGAATCCCTGTGAAGGGTTGCGCCGGGCGCCTAAAATGTGTAACTTTACCTCGCGTTTGAACGCCCGAGGAGGCGAATCCCTGTGAAGGGTTCACCCGCGCGCCTAAAATGTGTAACTTTACCTCGCGTTTGAACGCCCGAGAGTTCCAATCCCTGTGAAGGGTTGCGCGGGAACCGCAAAATGTGTCACTTTACCTAGCGTTTGAACGCCCGAGGCAGCGAATCCCTGTGAAGGGTTGCGCGGTGCGCCTAAAATGTGTCACTTTACCTAGCGTTTGAACGCCCGAGGCAGCGAATCCCTGGGAAGGGTTGCGCGGTGCGCCTAAAATGTGTAACTTTACCTCGCGTTTGAACGCCCGAGGAGGCGAATCCCTGGGAAGGGTTGCGCGGGAACCCTAAAATGTGTAACTTTACCTCGCGTTTGAACGCCCGAGGAGGCGAATCCCTGGGAAGGGTTGCATTCCCGATGGACGACAACGGTGCCACCCCTGGCTTTAGAAGAGAGAATTAGATACCGAGATGTAGAGAGTAAGTCAAAGTCATAGAGGCAGAGAGTCAAGCAAGTAAGTAAGTAAGTAAAAGTAAGTAAGTAAGTAAGTATAAGTAAGTATAGAGATAGCATAACATAGAGTCCAGTGTCAAGTGTCAAGTAAGTAAGTAAGTAGAGTGAAGTAAGTAAGTAAGTAAGTAAGTCGTAAGCAAGTATAGAGATAGCATAACATAGAGTCAAGTATCAAGTGTAGAGTCAAGTATCATAGAGTCAAGTGTCAAGTGTAGAGAGTCAGTCATAGAGGTCAAGTAAGTAAGTATCAAGTGTAGAGTCAAGTATCAAGTGTAGAGTAAAGTATGGAGTCAAGTAAGTTGATTCTATGTCTGTCATCTATGTACTCAGCTGCGGCGTTCCACACGGAAGAACCCTTCGCGATGCTTTCGGGAACAAACTCGCAATGAGGAGCAAGCTCGAAATGAAAGTACATCAGAAAATGCGCTTTCTTGAAGTGAGCCCTTATGCTTGCAAGCAATACTCAGTCTTGCCGATTTGACAGGCAACTTTATTGTCCCGCTCTAGAGTCTAGGGGGAGGCGGCCGGGGACTATTAATATCCAAGCGTTGCTGATTCGCTTTACCCATAGCAGCTGCAAATGCAAGCAAGAAACATCCAAGGATCGCAGCGACGGCAAAAGATTTTGCGAAGTATCGTTGACCTTCAGCACTTCTTTTCGCTCCGGTCCTGTGGGGAAGCCCACCTTGGCATCCTCGGTTCATACACAGTGCTCGGCAAGAAGCACGGCATCCAATCAGTGATGGCTACTCGCTTGGATGGTGAAGCGCCTGCTAGGTGAAGTTAATGTAAGCCGAGGAGTTGCTTCTCACATAGATCGCAGACATCTGCAACAGGCCCAACAAGAATCTATATCAACTATACATGTCCGCTCTACATCGCTCGTCCGCTCACAGCCGTCACAATGCGGTTTGGAACAAGCCCCCGCTACTGTCAGAAACTCCACAGTGGCTGACTCCAATTGTGGCAAGGTCTCCGACAACTTCAGAAAATGCAGCTGTTTGCAGCACCCTCGCCATCCTGCAAACAGTGTGCCTCCGACAGCGGTTCTGGATAGATCTGCTCTTGCAAGGGCAGGCCACCTTTTTATGGTTACCAGGTTGCCATGCACCGCCGTGTCAGCCAGCTCCAGGCGTGTCAGTCTCGTGTGATTGGACAATAATTCGATGTCACCTGTGACCTGTGACAGTGAGTAAGGGATCCTCTGAGTCAACATTCTATAGCTGTAGGTCCGGGGCCGTCACTATGACTACGATTTAGCAGGCTTCTGACAGCATGTGTTGCGAGCACCCTGAACTCCCTCCCAGGTATGTGTGGCGCGCCTGTGCCCTTTGCAAACACAACTTTCTCAGACGGGGCATGCCCTGGAAGTCGCCGAGATCACCCTTGACTTGATGGGCGCCAGGCAGGCTCAGAAACAGCAGTCTGGTGGACCGCTTCAAGTCGCTGATGTTTCCACGCACCGTGCCGGCCTGGTACACAGTTAGGTCCCTCAGCTGCCTGGCTACACGGAGCTCGGCGAGGTCTAAGCCAGTTCCAGAGAGGACAATTGTCTGCAGGCGGCCAACAGGCGCCTTCTCAAAGGTTCCACCATCCAGCCGGAGTTCCACCAAGCGCTTGCACCGGGCCAAAGCTGCCAGATTACCTTGAACCTGGAATCCTCGAAGGTCCAGCCGGCAAAGGTAGGGCAGCTGGCCAAGCTCTTCGGGAATTGAGCCTGTGCCCTGGATAATGCCAGACATTCGAAGTACCTCGACATCACAGAAACGGAATCGGCACTCAACACCTGGCCATCGGCAGGAACTTCCTGTCAGCGCTTCGTTCTGGATGCCCAGCTTGAGGAGCACGGCACGTAGTGCCGCTTCTTGTTTCGCACCGCCTCGGTTTCCAAAGATCTGCAATGCAAACTGTAGTGCACAACGGTTCAGCCTTTTTACTTCCCAAAGCCGAAAAATACTATACATGTTTGAGTACGGTCTGTCTTCAGGACCAATGAAGAACTGGGATGCTTTCGGTTTGGGGATTTCTTCCTGGCAAAATCCGTGCCACGTGGGCTGGAGAAGTTCAAAACAGTGCAGCCACAGATCTTGACCCTTGCCTGTATCTGGAGAAACTGCAAGACTGAGGGCAGCAAGCTGACAACATGGGACCAACGACATGGTGCTCATAAACTCGTGTTGCCTTGCTATCATGTCTTGCTTGTCGCTGGCTGTTGGCTTCGGTCCCAAGCGCAGCAGGCAGCCACTAGCCAGCTGCTCCATGGGCGGGAAATTTCGGTGCAGTCTGAAACCGCAACTGGCCGGGCCGCAAGGGCGCATTTTTCGCCGCCGTGCCGCTATAGGACGTGCTCCATCGCAGACCCGAAATAAAACTCGCATGAAGAGCAAGCGGTTTTGGGTAGCACCACGACAACACTTAAGTTGGGGAGTCTGGGGAGTGCCAGAAGTAACTGAGTCAGTATACCACAAATCTAGATTACTAATTACATCATATTTCACTGTGGGACAATCTGGGGGCAGAAGAGCCAGGTTACAAGGGTTCATTTAGCGTACGCCAGTTGCAGTCCGAGTCTATGGCACCTGGCATTCAACCCTGGCGGCAGCATCCCAACTGAAATAGCCCAGGTGCTGCATCTGCTGTGCATCGTTGTGTCTCCAAAGGCGCGAGGAAGTGGAACAGCCTGCCGGGTGGCTGCACCCTGCCTTATGGCACACGGTCAATTTCAGCACCATCTCTACAAGCCACATTCCACATCACTTCGCATCTTCAATCCGGCTGACGGCCTTGGGTTGGCTTGGGTGGAGTTCCGTGCCGGCATCATCCTCCACAGCCTCAACCAAGAAGGCAGTGTCGTGGCTACATGAAGCAGATTGTGGCTCCCCACATGGCTAGCAGGCGCTTTGTTTGACCTCGCTAAGCTTGCCTGATGCCATTTCTACCAAGCCGAACTGGGAATCATACAAGTGACTGCTGTTCCGCAGCCGTGACCGTGTTGTACGTGATGCATGATACGACTTAGTTCATTCTCGCAGGATGAAGCAAGTTTGGAGGCCGTGGTGTTCAAGTTCATGCCCGCAACTCTAGGCGATGCAACTCAGCAACATGGGTTCGCGGCTTGTCCACACTCGACTGTCGCACAACCTCCAAAACTTCAAACGAGCATCAACCATCAACCACTGCTGTCGGATGCCCGAACCCACACGAGCGGCCACAAATAACTACGATGAGCGGAAAGTTGGAAGAAAGGCACATGTAGCCAAAAGTCTTGTCCGCATGATCACGGCGCTCTGCGGCGGGCTTACGCAACCTATACCGTGCCAAAACGACTGTAGGACATAGTTTCACATCGGGCATTCTCTGCCGATTTCGCGGTAAGTTCCGAACAGCTCTCTTACTGTTGGGGCCACTTGCGGCGGGAACAAACACGCAAACGGATTCAACTTAGAAAGTGAAACGCATCTGCTCCTAAGCAGCCTTGTCACGCACGCCTCTTGCCAACCTCTGAACTTTGTGGACTCCGAAGGCACCATTCTACCAGCACTATTAGGTTCAACTTTAGCACTGCCGGGCTTGGCTTGATGTCGCCTGAAGAAGGCACATGGCATGATACACACTTTCTACGCTCCATGTTGACGCACCTTACCTTCCATGCTGGAGCTTGCTATTCGCGATTACCATCTTGGGCCAAACCAAAAGCCGGGGCCTGGTGCTCGAAATCAACAACCATGTACTGGGAAACCCTCGGTTACTCATGCCCTGTTTCGCTGTCGCTATGGAACTTGAGTGGGCATCCTGCGTCACCTTTCCAGAATCGCACTCGTGGCAAAAAGTTTCGGGTGCTGCATTGAATACTCTAAGACTCTAGGCTGCAGACTTACACATTCACTTTCCGAGTCATAAACTGTTTGTACAGCACATGTGTGTCGGTTAGAGGGATTCTGAAAATGAGCTTCACTTTGTGACAGCAACTCCCTCGCTGATATTGCTGGCCCACCCGGCATAATGCGCCTCCAGATCCTCAGCTCGCACAGGGGCAGTGGTAGGCTCGATCAGGCTCGACCAAGAACCCGAAATCGGCAGGTGAGTTTTTAAAGTTGTTTTTTCCTGCTGCAGGCAAGTACAGCTCTCCATCGAATCTTGCAGAATGCATCACGGAGCCCGAGTTAACTCCAAGCTGTCTGCATGCCATTTACACTAAACGCAATGTGTACCATGATTGCAGAAAAATCCATTTACGAACGCCTTCTGAAGACCCACGTGCTAATTATATCTGACTGAAGCCTAGGGTCAGTCTGGATCACCTGGCCAAGCCGTACCGCAGGCCGCTCCCCCGCACAGCAGAAACATGCATAGCACAGCCATACCAGCCTAGCTGGCAGTGGCATTGGCCACTCATGAATTTCGCATGCCTCGCCTAACTCAGGGCTGCTCGAGCCTGCAAGCCTGAAAGGTAGCTCAAACTGCGCGTCCAGCAACACTATGTGCTGCATAGGAGCGCGCAGGAGGAGAACAAGTTCATGGACCGTGGGTTTCCCAACCAATGCAATGTAGACTGAAACCCAAAATCAACTCGAGGCCAGATTTGTGGTAGATTGGGGCCATGCAGAAATGGATCTTTTGAGCAACAGTGGACTAACAACCCTAAAGTGAACCCCAGAAAGTTGGAACATGGCTTTAGGAGGATCTGCGCTAGGATCCCTTATACTTTGCCTTAAGGGCATGAGGATAGTGATGTTCCAACTTTCTGGCGTCTACTATATGTAGAAGCTGACAACCCGGACTCCGAACCCAAAACTGCAAATGCAACTACACCGTTGTCCGGCCTGGGGCTCAAAGCGGCAGCCAGAAACAGTTCGGCCGCGATTCGGGATTTCAGCGGAAGGTTCGATTCCTGTCGGGGTTTAGTTGGGGTCCAGAGGGATTCGGGTAGCTTTGCAGCTCTGCTTTCTGTTTTGGACGGAGGGATTGCGCAGTGTTGTCGGAGTTGACTGCAGAATGGCTCCGGCAGAACGGGAAACTATTCTAGAGATCACTCAAACGCCTTCTGCAACTGCAACTCGCACTGCTGTCACGGAGTTGCAAACTCAACCAAGACCGCGAAATGGCAAGACGAAGGTGCGAAGACTGTTTAACAACAGCATCCCCAGCCATTAAGTCAGGGATATGCTTGAAATCATTGTTCTGAAACTTCAAGCTCAATAACAGCTCGAGGTGTATTCCTTATGATTACAAAGGACATTGGCTCCCTGGTTCGACAGCGCAATACATGCGATGGCACTGCAGCGAGGCGCTCCTTTTCTCGCTGCACTCTAACCTGGCAATCTAGCACAAGCAGAGCGAAAGGATGCCCCCTTTCTGGTAATTTCCGAAAATAGGGGACCCTAGGAGTTCCTTCAAAGGGCTACTATCAGGGTAAAGGGCTACTATCAGGGTACTATAAGGGTTCCTTCAAAGGGCTCTATAAGGATTCATATTGGGAGTTTCCGAAAATAGGGACCCTAATATAGTACCCTAAATAGTAGGATCCTTCTTTCAAGGACCCCCAAGTAAGGTACCCCTAATTTCGGGAATTCCCTTCTTGACGAGGCCAGGTAGGCACAACATCACGCGACGACCGCACGCAACCCTCCCAAGTTACTGTTGAACCTTGAAGCGAGAATGTAAACAACCTCATGCTGAACCCTAGCCGGACAGGCATTGTGTCCGAATTCTTGGTGCATCTTCAGCATCTGCTGCAGCTTCTAGCCTGCGTGCCCCAACCTGTGGCGGCAGGACTTGAAACTGGCATAATATAGGGGATCTTACTAATTACTATAGGGTTATCGGGCTAATAAGGAACCTCCAAAATAGTATAGGAAATTCTTCAAGCCCCTTGACTAGAAATGTGGATCTCCAGGAGCTGAGTCCTGCACGTCTCTGGAACCAAAAGGCTATGTGTCTCAATATCAAGTCACGGGGATCCTGAACCCCAAACCCCAAACCCAGAAGAGCCCAATACCCCTTAATTAAGGAATATGCCTTAAATTATTGGGGACTTAATATTATGATTAAAGGTATATTCCTCAATTAAGGGGTATTGGGCTCTCTGGGAACTGCCTAAACTCTTGTGGAAAGGATACGAAATTTTGTGGATTGAAGTTCGTTCCACAGATTCGGGCATCGAGCAGCTTCTCTCGCTCCCCTCTTATTGTAGAGCATATGGCATGGGGGTTTAATAAGGAGAATGAGGTTTTGGGGCATGTCAATAGTATAATCATATGGGGAGCTGCCTGTCAGCAGCTGGCACACCGAATGCTTGCTGCCCGCTGGGGCGCTCCTTCCAGCTGCACTGCTCAGGCTTAGTGAGTCGGTGGGAGGGAAGGTTTGGTTTCCAGGTGTCAGGGTTGAAGGCTCCAACATCCATGCATCAAGCACGTATTAGCAGCACAAATCTCCGAGATCTGCTTTACATCTGAAGCCCGACGAGCCTAACCGTAGCGGGCTGTAATTGAAACATATTGAAATGTAACCGCGCGACTGAACATCTGTCAAGAAAGAGGGCTAAACAAATAACGAGAGCTGCAAATGCTGCCACGACCTATTACCATTCCGGAGTTGATGGTCCCTTCTTCAGCTCTGTTTGGCTGTGAGGTTTGGGGTTGCATCCCCGAGTTTGGAAGTTGCTGCTTGGATTACCCTGAAGCCAATGCCCTAGATGGTGTGCAGAACTACAACGTAACAAAAAGCCTTCGGCCAGCCTAATTAAACCCGAAACCCCTCAACCCTAAACCCCGAAACCTCCACTTTTAAACCCTAAACGAAGGCAGGAAAGGCCCAGTCTCCAGAACCATTGACTGAGTGCCATGCCCGGAGGCCTCAAAGGTGGGATGAAGGTAGGTGGGATATTCCCAAATGAGAGGGATCCTTGATCCTACCCACCCTCATCCCACCTTTTGAGGCCTCCGACATGGACAAATTAAAAGAACACTGCTGCCTAAAATCCTGAACTGCGTAGCTGCGAAAGAAAGAGTGAACAGACACCAAATCACAACAAAGCTCCGAGACACCATATCGGCACTTGAAACCCAAAGCCCCGGAACGCTAGCTGCTGGCTCCTTGCGGCGTCAGAGTGCGGACACGCCTGGCAAAGACTTTGAGAGCACGGGGGCCTCAAGAAGTAGGCTGAAGTTAGGTAGGATTCAGGATCCCATAAAATCAGCACCCTGGTTTGGGACTACCCTACCCACCTTCATACCACCCTTGGAGCCCTCTGAAGGTTCTCGAGGTGCGGAAATGTGTCCAGCATGGGTCGGCACTTCGTATGATGTTGTTCTCTGCAAACACTAAACCCTGCGACGCTAAGGCCTAAAACCTGAAAGAACGCTTAGGTTGAAGAGCTTGCTCAGCTGGTCGAGAATGTCGGGTGTAGACATACACATCCACCGCTGTCGACGCCAACAAACCCTCAAACCCTAAACCGTAGGCCTTGAAGCCCGAAGATGAACCCTGAAACTCTAGGGGCCAATGCTGCGAACCGAAGGCTAACCGATCACCTTTTACCAGGTGTCGACTTTACCAATCCCCAAACTTGTTTATGACTAGGGCTCTATATTCACCTCTAAGGGAAACGAAACGTTATCCCAAATCGATACCTAGTTTACCCGAAGAGCCCAGACCCTAACCCCAAGCCATCGTAGACTCCAGAAGGCCCCAGTGCAAAAGGAAGCAGGGCCTTAGATCCGAAAGCCTCGAAGCCTCCAAGCCCCTGCTGGCGAGCCTTAACCCTGACCCCCGTCCCCATACAGAATTCTTACAGGAACCCTTAAAGGAACCCCGAAAAGGAACCCTAGAAGGAACCCTAAAAGGAACCCTTACAGGAACCCTAGAAGGAACCCTGAAAGGCACCCTAGAAGGAACCCTTAACAGGAGCCCTAAAAGGAATCCTTAAAGGAGCATCAAAAGACCCCAAGCCCTGCAAAGGCACCAGTAGGCGGTGTGGAAGCTCTGCATTTGCAACTCCCAGAGGCCTAGCCTGGCAAAGAGGCTCGGAAGCTCGAGGAAAGGGACTTTGAGTTTGGGCTTAAGGGTTTGGGAGTCAGGGCTTAAAAGATTTAGCGGTGCGGGGTTCAAGGTTTAGGACTTAGGGCTTCGAGTTTGGGTTTAAGGGATTTGAGGGCTTGGGGGTCAGGTTTTAGGGTGCAGGGCTTGAAGTTAGGGCTTGAAGGTATTAGAGGTTGCGAGGTTTAGAGATTAGGGAGTTCGAGGATTTCAGGTTTAGAGCTTCTGGATGTCGGATGTACAACCGGGAAATTTCAGAGCATCGGCATACTCGGAGGCTCATGGTTAGTATAAGTGTGGTTATAAGCAGGAGCACAAAAGTTATAATAATAACCCAAGTGGACTTATGACCCTATTCGTAGGTACCCCTGAACCTGCAAGTAGAGTACTTGGAGACCAGTGGGGCGTGGGACTGCGGGGCTTGAGGACTCCAAGCTACTGCGAAGCTAGGTTGTAGATTAGGGTTTGGGGTTTAGGGAGAGCGTGGATCTCAAATGTTGTCGGCTTTTGTGTCATTTGGCAAGCCCAAACCCTGAAGCTTTTGAGGATCCCTTACAGAACCCTTCAAAGGAATCCTTAAACCCCAAACATTTTCCTTCTTCCACAACCCTAAACCCTAACCCTTCTTTAAAAAATCCCAATCAACGGGGGGGCGGTGCCGTCCCCGCGGGTGGGCGGCGTAGATGGAGGAGGCCCGAGACCCGGCGGAGGCCTCGACTGGGGCTGTTTTCATGAGGTGTACTACTTGGAGGATCATGGGACTTAGTAAGTAGGTTATAACTGGGGTAAAAAAAGTCCCCTAAGTGGGGTTATCCCAATTATAACCTACTTATAACCTTACTTACTAAGTCCCATGAGCCTTCAAGTATAGGGGCCTTAATGATTAGAATAGGGTTCCGTTTAGCAGGGGTCTATACGGGATCTTGAGTAGGGTCCCACAGTAGGGTTCTATGAAAAAGAATAGGGTTCCCTTAAAGGGTCCTTCAAAAGGGGGTCTGCAAGGGATCTATAGTAGGGTCCTATGATGTTTTCATGGGGCATTTATGTGGGATAAGGCTTCTTGGTTTAGGGATTGGGGGTTTAAGGCTTAAGGCTTAAAGTTTTGGGGGTTTAGGGGTTAGGGTTTAGGGGCTTAGGGGTTTAAGGGTTTAGGGGTTTAAGGGTTTAGGGGTTGAGGGGTTTGGGGTTGGGGATTTAGGGTTTAAGGGCTTAGGGTTGTTTAGGAGTTGAGGGTTTAGGGCCGAAGCCTCGGCTCGGGCTGTCTTCATAGGGTTCCCACAGACTCCAGTATCCCTGACTTGAGGAAGAGCTAAGGTTCGTTTAAGGGAACTATGAGGGATCTATAGGGTTTAGGGTTCAGGGGACTTCAAAATCCCTTACTTAAGGAGTATGCCATGAATTTTGGTTCTTATAGTAGGATGCCTACTCTAATGAAAGGATTCCTTTATTAAGGGATATTGGAGACTCTGGGTTTAGGGTTCCTCTTACGGGTTCCGTCATGGGGTGTAGGGGGTAGGGTTTGGGTTCCTGTACAAAGTAGCCACAGTCCTCCGGTCGGCGTCCAGCTTCGACTCGATGCTATGCAGTCGCTGGAAGAAAGCTCCTGGGACGCAATCGTGTTTCTCCACCAATGGTCCGAAAGCCCGTATGGTCCTCCTTGCACGAGCATTATTGGCATCACCCTTGGGGTTTCTGGACAATGGACCATTGCGATCTGCTGCTGCGAACACCTCCATGAACAGCTGCGTCTTGCTAAGCTTCCTCAGCCACTCGGCTTCGTCTTGACGCGATGCCTGGTGAAGTGTCGGTTTTTCTTTCTTTTGACACAGGAGGTGATCTGTTGGACCTGCATTGTGCACCTCCTTGCCATACCAGGCGATGGAGCCAAAGTCGACCATCGTGAGAACGCCACGAACCGATTTGCCCGTAAAGCTTAAGCTTCCTTTTATGGGTTCGTGAGCTGAGGTTTCTGAGTGGAGGCTTTAAAGCTTTGTGAGTTTAGGCTTTAGAGTTGCATATGTCTTTTGGGGATGCTTGAGGATCTTGGCAGATTCGGGGGGGGAAGGGTTGAGAGGCGGCATGTCCATGATGCTTAGCTGGTACAGGCTCGAATTGGGGGCCTGGCGGCAACATATGGGCGTTGCCTGCGAGAAGCTTCGGCGAAGGCCTGAGCTAACCCCTCGACCCAAATAACACTATAAATTATATACTTGGTGGAACAATCCAAAAAGTCCCTCGGAAGCCAACAACCCTACACTCGAAACCTTAAGCCCTAAAACCCCAAAACGCTAAGATCCTAAAACCCTAAAACCCCAAAATGGCCCCAAAACAGGGGCGCCCACCACCTCGCTGCCATCGACCTCCAGCTGAAGTTCCTGAGCACAGCTGCAGGAGGGTCGGCTCTGCAGCAGAGCGCTATAGACCTTTTGGGTTGAGGGTTTAAGGTTTACGGTTTGGAGGTGTTAGGGTTTAGAGTTCAGGGTTCATGATGTGACACCATGTGGAATATGGCGATCCACAGTACATGTGTGCGCCAAACGTATACACGGCTTTTTCGATATACTACACAACACACAGTTATACACATGTGCTGATGCATGTACGCATCCATGTGAGTATGTCTAGCTTGGGTGATCCTATGGGTCGAGAAACCAGAACGAGGATGGTTGCTTTGGAGCCCATACGCAGCCAGGCTGCATGGACTCGCTGGGTAACAAAGGAGATTCTCTTCTTTGCATCATCTGTATTATGGTCTATTGCTATAGGTTATATTACATTACGTAGATTGTATCATATTACATTCATTGCATTATATTGTATTGAATCAAAGGCATTTTTACTGCTTTCACTACTGTACTATGCTATATTGTATAATGGCTGACAGCCTTGCGGCTTGGACAATGACCAGAAAATCACGAGAAACGCCGGATCCTCCAACGCGAAACCCCGAAAGTCCACAAACCCGAGACCTCTGAACGAAAACAGTCAAATCCTACACCCATATAAGACCCCAAAAAACCATGATCCCTAAGCCCGAAACCCCTAAACCCTGAAACCTAAACGGACCTAAAGCCTCTCAAACCCTTCGATCCCAGACGCCTCGGCGACGGCGGGGTTGGATTCCACGACCGCCTGATACTCCTCCGGCACACTCTAGGGTTTCGGGTCTACGGCTTAAGTGGGTGCTCGGGTCTTGCAGTTCATGGCATGAGGCTGCGTGCAAAGTAAGGCTTCATGGCAACCCGAACTCTTAGAAGTCCCGGGCAGCAGCACGATCTCTGCCATCACCACTATTACCATCATCACCGCCGCCGCACTATGATCCTGACAATCATGACCCTTGTTCAAGTCACCAGCACCGATTTGCTGCTAGAATCACCTAGATTCGACCACAATCAGCGTTGCTGCACCGTTCACAGAAAGCTTCAGAGAAGCGGAAGCTTGTTCAGTTCTGGCCTGCATTCCTTGCTGGGGTCGCCATAGCCGAACAAACGCTAGCCCCAAGAGAGAGACATAGAGAAACAAAGAGAGAGAGAGAGAGAACAAAAAAAAAACACGGTTGAGACAGAGACGGAGACAGATTAAATAGACCCATAAATCCCATAAGCCCCAATCCAAAACCCAATGCAATGCAAAGAATTTACAGCGAGCGAATCGAACCCAAAACGGACACACCAATAAACATAAACACAACGGGTGAAGAGCAGTTGTGGTTTAATTGTAACTCATTTGGTCCTTTGCAACAGCCCAGTTCAATGAAGTAATCTGTATGAAACACACGCTTGCTTCACTCGCTTGGTTTAACTAATTTGCTATGTCTGCTGGTTCGCGCTTTCCTCACTCACCGGGCTATTGCTGTATGACAAAATGACATGAGCGAAGCAAATGAACGCAAGAAAGGAATATGGGACACAATTGAATGGCAATGAAGCGTGAATTCGCCTCGGCCCCGGCCGCAAGGCCCCCCCCCTCCCCTCCCCCCCCTCCCCCCTTGGTGCGAGCTTTCTGGAGTTTTGGACGCCACGAAACTGCAAAGTACACATCTTTATGTGTTGGGGCTCGCCTTTAAGGCTGCTGCAGTACCAAGCGAGTTTCAAACCTGAATTCCTAACCTTACACCCTAACCCCAGCCTGAAAAATTGGGGCTCGCCTGTAAGGCTGCAGTACCAAGGGAGTTTAGGGTTTAGGGATGGCTTTGCGTCTCAGGCTTGTTTTAGATGCTTTTTTGTTGGGATAGGCGGAGTAACGTGGTTGAAAAGGCTGTGATGCTTCCCTAATCCAAGACGCCCACGAAATCCACAGCCTCAACGGCCCATACTTAAGGCATCCCGCCGCTTGCGAGAGTCTTGGTATCCAGTGTTTCGGAATGACGACACCAAAATTCGTACTGATACTACCACTACTAATATACTACTCACAATCATCCTGCTTCGTGTTGCTATGAACATTACTTTTACTATAAGTGCGATTTCAACTGTTACTTTTTTTCCTACAAGAGCTTGCTGCAGATAGTAGCCACTCGCCGCATGCGCGTACAGCCGGGCCGAGGCGGACGACGCGCAGCGTTTCAAATTAAGTTGTGCTTTGGCTTCATTTCGTTCCACGAGCCCCAAATGTAAGCTAATTAAACCGTGCTGCGGCTTGCGCTACATTACGCTTAAACAGAATTGATTAGGACTTTATCCTACTAGGATGTGAGGAACGAGCGCTTTTTCGTTTGACCGTCTTACTAGTGACGTGAAACGATCCGAAATCCGTGACACCACAGCTGTCCCCCTCCACATTCGAGGGCTCGCTGTAGTCGTCATCGCCGTCGCCTCTTCGCACACCGCAGATCTTAAGGCAACATCCGCTTCAGGATGCCGAGTCTGTACGAAGTCCAAACAAGGGAAAGAGCAGTACAGAAGTTCATGTCTGTCTTCACTGAAGTTGAGGGAGCACTGTCAGTTTCTCAATGTGTTCGAAGGCGCACTGCGCGCCTGCGTTGGGAGGAAAGCTGTTTGGAGTCAAGTAGACTACGGTACTATAGAGGCCTAAATAATTACGATTACTGCGTTGGAGGTTCCTTATGGGAGCCCTGACAATCGAAAGAGTACGAGTCTTCGGGTGGCAGAGCCGGCAGAGCCTGTGTTCGGGCCATCACGGCCACGGTCAATATTCCGTTGTGGCTTGTTGTGGTATGCCTGCTTGTCCTCTCTAGCTTCACGTGCCAGGGCTGAGGGCGCAAGCCTTTCCAAGAATAACACCAAGGCAGGCAAAAGGATATCCTGGAATCATTGAATCATCCACACTACACGAACATCGGGTTTAGGGTTTAGGGTTCACGATTTAGGGTTTAGGGTGTAGGGTTTTTGGAAGCTAAGAACCAGAAACATGAACGGAATAAGACTCTTCAGGGTTTACGGTTTAGGGTTGAACATAATTTACAGTTTAGGGTTGAACATAATTTAACAGAGCATGAATGCATTTAACCCTAAACCCTCAACCCTAATCCGACTCTTTCGATTTAGGGTTTAGGGTTTTTTCGGAAGAACCAGAAACATGAACGGAATAAGACTCTTTTGGGTTTTAGGGCTTAGCGTTGAACACCACCAGACTTTTTCGAACTTTGGGCCAATGATTTGATGGGAGGCCAAAAGACGCGGTTTAAGATTCTTTGGGTAGGGATTCCTTAATATGAACCCTTGTATGGGAACCCTAATCCCTACTAAACCCCCATAGGCTAAAACCCCTTTTGGCCTCCTATGATCAATGGTTCAGCGGGGCCTGGCCGCAGCTTTCGCCGACTCTGTAGGACGCTGGTGTTCCTGCTCGGGGCACTCGGCGGCTGACTGCTCAGACCTTATAACCCTAAACTCTAAACCCTTTATAAACTTAGAGAGAGAGAGAGAGAGAGAGAGAGAGAGAGAGAGAGAGAGAGAGAGAGAGAGAGAGAGAGAGAGCGAGAGAGAGATACATATATATACATATAATATCATATATATATATATCTTTATAAGTCAAAAGTATCCCAAATAGATACCTAGCTACTTATGACCCAAAAGACCCTAAACGCCAAGTACAGCACAGCAACGGTATGCTTGAAGGAACGACAGCGGATTACTGCCCGTGATTTCTCATGCGGCTGTTCCTTGCAAGCCCTCAACAAGGGAGGGTACTTAAAGGATCATGGGACTTAGTAACTGGGGTCATTGATAGGGTAACTATATTTACAACTACTTACAACCCCAAATAGGGTACTTATAGCCCTACTTACCAAGTCCCATGATCCTACAAGTAGCGTCTGCCTGGCGGGATTGAACCCGACATCCGTGCCATAACATAACGAGCGCGGACTACCAATCGAAACCGATTGTAGAATAAGCTAAGTACGTTCCTTGTCTGAGTTCCAAGAGGAAGAACACAGAAACCCAGAGGCCCCAAAGTAGCTCCTTTTTGGGATTACCTAAGAGGATTCTAAATATGAACCCCAAAACGGAACTACTTTAGGGCCTTAGGGTAGTTATCTTATAAACTAATATACGGGCCTAAATTTAAATAGTTAATTATACTATTGCAATTAAACAAGGGCACCGACCCCGAAGCTCCTGGAACGTTAAAATCGGTAAACCGGTGTGCCAAAGCCTCGCCAGCTGGCGGCGGAGCTCCGCGGATTGGCACTGGAGCCGGGTCTGCAGCAGGAACGTCGGACATTTGAGGCTCAGGATCTTGGGTTGCAGGGTTTTGAAGCTTGGGGGCTTGAGGTTTTAATGGCTTTTCATTAGATTTAGGCTGAGGCTGCTTTCAGGTACATGGCCTCTTGTCTAGGCCCGGCTTTATAGCAAATTTTTGGTATTCAACGAGTCTGCTTCGCTATAAGGTGTATAGGGGGTTTAGAGTTCAGGGTTTAGGGTTGAGTTCTGGTGCTTAGGAATGACTACCCCCCCCTAGAACCACAATAAAACTACTACTTTCAATATTCTCTTGGGTTTTATATGAACAGAAATGAAAAAATGAAATATAAAAAAAAAGGAGAGACTATAGATTAAGGGCTTGGGGCTCAGACTCTGAGTTTCAGCCCAGCCCTTCGCACCGAACAGTGAGGGCAGCCCTCCCTCCATTTCAAACTCATGATCCAACACTTCGGTACATTCGAGATACGCTGGCGTAACACCTTCTAAATCCGAACAGGTACTTCTCACCCCTCACCTCTTAACCCTTAAGCCTGAAGTTCAATTAAACTGTAAACATTAATCATTAGACCCAACGGCTGCAAATGCCGACAGCAGTGCAGTCTCATTGCCTCGAGCTCTGCTTGGCGCTCGGCAAATTCGGCACAGAGTCGGCGCTGGACCTCGTAGGGACGTTTGGGGCTTGGGGGTTTAGAGCCTTCGGGTTTAGGGCGTCGGGTTTTGAGCTTTGGACTGAAAGGTTAAGGACGTTATTGGTTTGGAGTTTCGGGCTTACTCCTGCATGAGCCCATGACACTTATGCTTGTAGTAAGTTAACGGCAGCAGCAGTCAAAAGCAAGGGCATTGGTGCCGGCATTAGCGAAAGACGCCTGACGACATGATACAATTCTACTCTAACACGCACCCTAGAACAACACAGCCAAGAGAAAGCGCATCCACACACGTTGACATCATGGAACCCCAACGCCGCATGTCGACAGGGACGGCCAAGCACAGTTGTTTTCTAACCCGAAGCCAGAAGCCGAAAAGTCTCTAATCAACCTAAACCCTGAACCCGCGCCCAAACAATGAATGAACAATCAAAGCAGCAACGACGCAAAATAATCATTACAATACTATACTCATATTAACAACATTGACAATCATAACAACAGCACTACTTTAGCTTGGAGTACTCATGATAGGCAGAAGAAAAGGAAGAGGAAGACCAGCAAAAGTATCTCCTTTCCTAGCAGCTTGGTATCTTACGTTAAACTAATCATGATAAGAAGGTGAAGAAGAAGCTCTTTCCTAGCAGCTTGCTGGCACCTAAACCCTAAACCCTAAAGCCTACACCCTAATTAAACCCTAACTAAACCCTACACCCTAAACTCTAAACCCTGAACGCTCCGCCCTAAACCCTAAACCCTACACCCCAAACCCCATACACCCTAAACCCCTGAACCTTAGGCCCGAAACCGCAGTTTGCCCGGACCTCCTCCGTCTCCGCCTGCACCGCTGCAGCCTCCTCGCCGGCCGCGGCGAGCGCGGCGTCGCGCTTGCAAAGCTCGGCCTGGCCGGGATGTACTTAAAGGATCATGGGACTTAGTAACTGGGGTTAGTATTAGGGTAACTATACTTATAACCCCAATTAGGGTACTTGTAACCTTACTTACTAAGTCCCATGATCCTCCAAGTAGGGTTCAGGGTGTAGAGTCTTATTGACAAAGCTTATGGGAAAACCCTAAGCCCTAAACCCTAACGGTTTAGGGTTTAGGGCTTACTCAATTCGGTGGTCCGACACAGGCAGGGTTTCTGGGCTACTTGGAGGATCGTTGGACTTAGTAAGTAAGATTACAAGTACCCTAATTGGGGTGGTAAGTACAGTTAACCTAAGAATAACCCTAGTTACTAAGCCCCATGATCCTTTAAGTAGGGAGGGATCCTATAAGGGTCCTTTAACGGCTCCTTAGCAGGATCTACAGGGATTTAGGGTTTAGAGTTTCGGATTAAGGTTTCAAGGTTTAGGGTTTAGGGTTATGGTTCAGGATCTTTGGTTTAGAGCTTGGGCTCAGAGAGTTTAGGGTTAAGGGTTTAGGATTTGGGGTTTGGGGTTCGGGGTTTTGGGGTTTACGGTTTGGGGGTTTAGGGATTAGATGCGTTACGGTGATTTTGAGGCCTCTGGGGGTTTATGATTTGACACGGGTTCCATGTGGGATTTGTAAGAGCTCCATAACAGTCACTTAGGCTTTCTGGCTATTTAGTTTAGTAGGGTTCAGGGTGGGGATCTACTTACCCCCTTACTTACAGCCCTTTCAACTCACGATTATATACCACAAAATGCAGAGCCCGTCAAATTGCCCCTAAAACCCTAAAACCCTAAAACCCTAAAACCTAAACCCTCAAAACCTTATAGACCTTAAAGGATCCCGAAAAGGATCCTTTAAGGAGCCCTAAGCCCCCAAAAAGAACAGCCTAAAACCCTTAAACCCTACAGATCCCTTTGAGGAACTCTTAGAGGATCCCTAAACCGAACGGGCCTCGAGCTCCGCCACCCGAAGCTTCGCTGCGATCAGCTCCTTCTCGCGGAGGTCCAGCTCGATCTGCAGCGGTAGCGCTTTTCTGGGTTCTTGTTAGGGGATTTTTATTTCAAGTGCCACAGTTAAGGGCTCCTTTAAGGGATCTATATGGGTTCAATATATATATATATACATATACATATACATATACATATACATATACATATACATATACATATATACATATATATATATAACTCTATCTGCAGAGGATATTTTTTGTTTTTTTTGCTTGCTTGTGGCTTTTTGGGTCTGCTGGGATCGAATTTGAGCCACCATCATTTAAGGGTTCCTGTAAGGGATCGATAAGGGCTCGATGCTTGAGCATTTTGTTCTTTCGTGCGTGGTTGTGTGGAGTTTTTTATGAGGGCTTCTAAGGGTTCAGGGTTTAGGAATCAGGGTCTTAGGGCGTAGGGTTTACGGAGTAGGGTTGAGGGTTTCAGGTCTAGGGTTGCTTTTGCTGATTGTTGGGTTCGGTGTTTTACTGAACGGTGCGCCAGGCTTTCCCTCAGGACTATACTGAACTTAGAACCCTAGCAAAAATTATAATCTTAGCTGTGTCTTAAGGGTTATAATAACCAAAAAATTAAAGATAATTTCTAAGTACCCCTAAGAAAAAGGTAGGTACCTTGGGGTTAAGGAAGCACAAGACACGGCCACTCATTGAGGTTCGAGGGTCTACAGTTCAGGCTTTAAGGTTTCGGGTTCGCGGCTTTTGGATCCGTGGGGGGGGGGGGGGTTTAGAGTTTAGGGTTTAGGGTTTAGGGTTTAGGGTTTAGGGGGGGGGGGGTTCTTCAAGGGTTTCTTTGTTGAGCTCCAGAACAGATTCTTTTCAGCAACCTATGAGTAGCTTAGGGATACGGCACTTTGGGGTTTAGATTGGGAGTTAAGACTTTGGGGTTTAGGGATGTGAGGTTTAGGGCTCTAGGCCTGTAAAGTTTAACGTGCAGGGGTTTGGAGTTTGAGATCTGGGGTTTAAGGGGGTTCCTGAGGTTTTGCCGTTGATGTCGGTTCACGAAGCTTGTTATGGTCTGATGCAGGGCTTGCAGGGTTCAGGGTGTAGAGTCTTATTGACAAAGCTTATGGAAAACCCTAAACCCTAACGGTTTTTTTTAAAGTTAGGTTGACGGCCTTCTTTGTGCGCCTGCCCGAGTCGGCTCCTAACTAGGCCTCTGTCACTGCATATGTTAGGGTTAGGGTTAAGGGTTTACTCAATTCGGTGGTCCGACACAGGCAGGGTCTCTGGGCTTCCTGGAGGATCGTGGGACTTAGTAAGTAAGATTTCAAGTACCTTAATTGGGGTGGTAAGTATAGTTACCCTAACAATAACCCCAGTTACTAAGCCCCATGATCCTTTAAGTGGGAGGGATCCTACAAGGGTCCTTTAAGGGCTCCTTAGCAGGATCTACAGGGATTTAGGAACCCTAGTTACTAAGCCCCATGATCTCTTAAGTATGGAAAGTTTAAAGGCTCTCAGGATCCCCCTTCATGGCTTCGCCCACAGAGCCCCATAGGCTTCATTTCACCCTAAACCCGAAATCCGAAGCCCTTAACCCTGCACCCCAAGCCCTAAACCCTGAGCCCCAAGCCCTAAACCCTAAGCCCCAAACCCTCTGCCCTGGACCTTAGTAAGGGCTGGCTTCTGGGAGCCTCTGTATTGGAGCCAGTCCCAGGCTCAATGATCGGTTCTGAAATGGTTTAGGGTTTAGGGTTTAGGGGTTTAGGGTTTATGGTTTAGGTTTAGGGTTTAGGGTCAGAGTCTAAGAGGGTTTGCCACCGGCTTGGCTCTGGGAAGCAGGTAGTATAGGGGCTTCAATAAGTGAAATCGGGTCTTGGGGCGCATTATAAAAATCGCATCGGCAACCCTTGGGAATAATGTTGGTAATGGCACGCGGCTGTCCATGCAATACAGAGCAGAAATCACACCTTGAGCTTTGCAGTAGGTAATAAAACTCAGAAGACCAGAATCACCATCATCAGCACCATAACCATCACTACGTTCGCCATCAACTTCTTCATCAACAAAAAAGACGAAGAATAATTAGGATAACTGCAAGAAGAACGACAACGGCAAGTACCACCACAACAATATTTAGCATGATCTGGAAGACACGATCGTGGCAATCACAACAACTACTGGGTTCTTGTTAAGGGTTTTATAATTTAGTTACCATTATATGGAAACCATAGTATTTACCGTAGATCCCTATTATGGTATCTTAAACTAACTTCCTTAACCCCTAAACCCCTTATAGAACCCTTACAGGAACCGTAAATTATGGCTCAAATAAACCCCTAACGAGAACCCAGACTACGTTCTGGTCGTCCGACGCGCACTAGAGTACACTTCCGAAAATCCGTGGACCCTAAACCCCGAACCCTTAAACCGTAAACCCTAAACTCCGAAACCCTCGAACCCTGAAGCCTAAATCCCTGAACCCCTAAACCTGTCCCCGAAATCCTATAGACCCAAAGACTCAAGAAGCTCCCTGTCTCACTTTGCCCATCGCTGCCTCCGCCTGCGCCGTGCATTTCGCCACCGCTGCCCGCACTCGCTCTCCTGCAAAAACCCTGAACCTTCGGCCACAAACCCAAAGCCTTAATAGAACACCAAGCCCTGCCTATAGTCTCCATTGTAGGTCGTTTTTGGGGGTTACTTTACAGGATCCTACATATTACATTGGGTAAACAAAACAAGGGAACTACAATGGAGACTTTACCACTATGGGCTATTAGGCCCTAAAGATCCCTATTAGGACCCTATTAAGGGTAGATTAAGGTACCCATAAGGTCTAATAGCCCATAGTGGTAGGTGGTCTCTAAACCCAGGTGTGGAGCTTGGGGTTTGAGAGTCGGGGCTTCGGCTTCCTAGTGTTAACGGCCTCGCAATGTTTCAAGGGTGGGATTAGGTCTTGAAGGCATCCACTACTTGGAGTAAGGTAATGTTATAAGTACCATAATTGGGGTTATAAGTATAGTTACCCTAGCAATAACCCTAGTTACTAAGTCCCATGATCCTTGAAGTAGGGTTTTTGGGGATTTGGGGTCTAGGGCACGTAGGCATTCAGGGTTCAGTACCGGTTTTTTTTTCTCAGGATCCCACGGGAACAAAACCCTCAACCCCAAACTCCAACAAACCTCCATTCCCCACCCCTAAACCCTAAACCCCTCTGATTTCAGCATCGTTCCATGCGTTTTGAGTTCAGAGCTTCAGGGTGTGGAGCCACCCCATAAAGATCCACGCGGCGGTATGTATGAGGGATTCTTGTTATCGGGGAGGCTGTTTCGGTAAACCTGAAGCGAAGGCCGATAAACCCGAAACCCTACACCCTAAAACCCTATACCCTAAACCCTAAAACCCTGAACCCTAAAACCCTAAAACCCTAAAACCCTGACCCAAAACCCTAAAACCTAAAACCCTCAAGCCTCAACCAGAAAGCCCTGCCATCCGAAGGGCACACGATTGGGGTTTACAGGTGGCCCAAAAGACCTACCTTTTTAAGGAACTATATTTAGAAACCCCCTAAAACCCCCATCTCAATGCCATACCTCCCCCCGGTCTTTCCCAAAAACCAATAAGACCTAAACCCCTAAACCCTAAACCCGCGCATCGGATCCTAAACCCTAAACCCTTCACACAGCCTACACCTTTTGGTTCCTGGCTCTTGTATTTGGGTGGTTGTCAAAATTAGGGTCCCTTTTTGGGTACCCTAAATACAAGGTGCCGTATTATACTAAGGACCCAAAAAGGGACCGTAATTTTGACAACCACCCATTTGGCTACAGTCTTCTCTTCGGCTACAGCTCCATCCGATGGCGCAGAGACGAGCCACACAACCGAGAATGGGGCTTGGGATGAGGGTTTAGGGATTTAGTTTATGGTTTTACGATTTGGGGGTTGAGTGTTTTCTGGAATACGGATTAGGGACTAGGGATGAACGTTTTATCTTGTGGCTGTATGCTTTAGTACTTGGAGGGTCATGGGACTTAGTAAGTAAGGTTATAAGTACACTAATTAGTTACTAAGTCCCATGATCCTTTAAGGAGGGGGTTGGGGTTTAAGGTTTGAGGGTTTTCGGAATTGTTTGGAGTTTCCAGATACCCGAGATCCCCAAATTCACGAAGTATATAAGCCCCCTCCTGGTGCTCGGCGACGACACGACTTACGGACATGGGACGTCGCTGCTTAGATGTCCAAGACTTGAAAGTATCCTGAGACCTCCCTAAACCGGACCCTGGAGATATCGGGGCTCCTCTACAGGGCTCCCTTTATGGCATCCTATAAGGGTACGATAAGGGTTTAGTCTAGGGTTATAGGGGCCTTTTTAATTACCTATACTGATTATTTTTTGGGGGGTCCTTATTATAGTTATAGTACACTGGACCCCAAAGCCCCAATCGAATTATTAAGGCCCCTATATGCGAGTACCCTAACATAGATCCCTTATGGTACCCCTTATAGACCCCCGTTTAGAGGGAACCCCATTCTAATTATTAAGGCCCCTATATTACCCTCGCAGCTTCAACTCCTTCTCTTCCATCCAGCCAGGCTCTAGACCAGCAGACCTTTCTTGATATAGACCTAAGAGTAACCTAGGAATTACAAAAGATTGCCTTTTTGGCATAAAGGGGGTTACAAGAGAACCTAAATCCCTAACAAAAAGCTGCTCTGGGTCCTAGTGATTCTCTTCCTGACACCCTCAACCCTAGCAGCCTCAAAACTGCGCAAGACTCTGATCCCTAAACTTCGAGCTACAAAGACTCCAAGAGGGCCCTCTGGCCTCAACACCATCGATCGCGGGACAAGCAGAAATTGGAGGCGGGCTCCAGTTTCGGATGGCTGTGGGGTAGGGCTCCTGAGACCTTTTAGGGGCTCCTCGGTTGGGGTTTAGGGGTTTAGGGGTTTAGGGGCTTAGGGGTTTAGGGGCTTAGGGGTTTAGGGGCTTAGGGGCTTAGGGGCTTAGGGGCTTAGGGGCTTAGGGTTTAAGGGTTTAGGGGTTTAGGGGCTTAGGGGTGTAGGGTTTAGGGTTTAGCGGTTTAGGGTGGAGGGGTGGAGTTGGGACTGTGGGGCTAGTCCTCTGCGACTGTTTAACACTGAAATACCTAAAATATAAGGAGGCTTTAACTTTACCTACTTGGAACAGGTTTGGGGGGGTGCGTTATACAGTTGTCATACAAACATTATCACGGAATACTATGGCGAGAAACTCAGACCCCTGAGGCATCGCCTCTTGTACTCTATCGACGTGGTCCTGTGATTTGTGCGCTACTTTCGCTTGGGGCCTAGGGTATGCGCACTGGTCTATCAGGTGTTGCACGTCTCTTTTCTGACTTTTCCGACGTGCTGAGATGACTAAATAAGCCTGCCATCTCAAAGGGCTTTACCCAAAAACAGCATAACCCACAGCTTTGACCTAGGACCGTACGATACGCTCCAGAAAAATGGCCTGAGGGCTCTGATTTTTGACTAAGACCTCGGATGATGACGGTTAGGACATGATGAACAGAACGGCCATCATGCCGCTACCGCCGAGTCCGGTCGTCATGAGCATGACGAGGGCGATGACAAAACCTCTAACGTCTAAACCCTAAGTGAGAAAGCAATGCAACGTAACAACAAAGGTTCAAGAGATACCCAGAGACTCTGCATAGGGTTTAGGGTTTAGGGCTTAGGGTTTAGGGTTTAGGGATTAGGGTTTAAGGATATACCTTCAACTATAGCATTAAGTCCCCTATAGCGGCAGGTCTGTTCCTTCTGATGCAGCAACAAATTACTGCTCGGAAGCTGGTTCTGAGGGGAGGAAATCGCGAATGGAGCCCCCTACAGAAACTTATCTTCGCAGGTCTGGAAAGCGGAGAGGCGGGCAGCTTCACATCGCTGAGGGTTTCGAGTTGACGCGGAGGGTCATGGGACTTAGTAAGTAAGGTTATAAGTATCCTAATTGGAGTTATAAGTATAATTACCCTAATAATAACCTGGTTGTTAAATCCCATGATCCTTTAAGGAGGGTAGCCCCGCCATAAAAGCGAAAGAATAAATGCGGCGAAAGTATTTGCAATCATGCCAGGGAGTGTCATTCCGGTGGCGCGAGAAGTCCACGGCCAGAGGCCTGTCCGAAGAAACCCTGAAGCATGCATTAATTAAAACTGGCTGTAGCAAAGCCAGGGCTAAGCGAGTACGCCTTGAAGGCTCCAGTACAACCAGTAGCCTCAAAGCCCTATTCAAAATCGGAAGACTGTACAGGAAGGTGTCTGGCTCAAGTAACCTCAGGCCCCATTGGCCGAGGTAGCGGTTGAGCGACCTTCATAACTAACTCACTTAGCTCAGTTGGCGGCCAAGAAGAAAGGAGACCGTGCAGCTGCAAACCAAAGTAGCTGCAAAACAGGTGTGTCAAGCAGGTTTACACTGTTGCAGTGCAAACAGAGGGATGGGCAGCAGGGTACACACCTGCACACACTGCACACTCTTGCACGGAAGGCCCCCCCCCCCCCTGTTGACTACACGTACCCTGTACTGGCCCTGCACAAGCTTCAAGAGTACGAGCCTCAGCCCAGCTGGCGAGGCGTGGTCAGAAAACGGGGCTCCTGGGCACCGCAAGCCTCAGCCCAGCTGGCGAGGCGTGGTCCTGTACGAAACAGCGAAGCGGCAAAAGCTTTCGTGTTCCTGCTGTCAGATCTCCTGCTCCTTAAAGACACACCTGAAGAGATTGATCACCTGCCAACTAGCTCTCAAAGCAAAGGCTCAAAGCAAAGGCTGGACACTCGGGCTGACCGGACCGAGGATCCTGCAGAAAACGGGGCTCCTGGGCACCGCAAGCCTGCCAGAGCACGGAGAAGCGGAAGCAGGCAGGCTACGAAGCAAAGGCGATGCTGAAGTACAGTGCTTGAAAACCATTTTGCAGAGCAACAAGGCTGTCACGGCCTGCTGCGGGACCTTTGGTCCAGGTCAGTGCCCAGGCTGAGCTGCACCCTTCCACAGCCTCGGGCCCTCAGCCCTAAGGCGAGGGCCCAGGAGGCAGTGAAAAGCAAAAGTTCAGGCGGCCTTCCACTCGACGGCCAGGGCAGCTTGACTCACCTAGTAGGCTAGTCACCAAGGAAAACTCCCTGCTGTAGCAGGCACCACTTGTAGTGCTGCGTAAGGAGTGGTCGTAGCCGTTGCAGCACCTCCTCAGGCGAGGCGTTGCTGACAAGCTGGAGTAGCTCCTGAAAGTGGTCTGGAACACTCCTCTTGACCGCGCTCCAGAAAGCCGAGGCACGCTGTCTGTTCGGCCAGTGTGCCCTTTGACCCTCCCATGGAAGCCAGTCTGCGGTGTCCCACATCATAATGAAGCCACGGGCATCAACACCAAAGTTGAAAAAGCCAAGATCCTTGAGATTGTAGAAACGGGAGGCCTCCGCAGTCAGTGCCATCATGTAGCGGACCATATCAAGGTCCGGCGGAGCTGGCCTCCACACCGAAAGTGGAGTGAGCCTAGACTGCCTCAAAACATGCGTGGAGATGATATCATAGCAGCTCTTCCAAGAAAGCGTGAGCAGGTGAATACCCGCATCCAAAGTGCA